TCAGGTTCTACTTTTAAAGAAATGGCCACTATTATGTGAAAATCTTAATGAAATCAACAATTGAGGGTTGATATCTCAAGGCCAAAATAATTTCGTAGCAGTCTAGTTTTGTTTCAAGTCAACACGTTTTTGATATCTTTCATTCTGTATACAGAGCAACGCAAAACTCACGACCATTATTTTCTCGGTTATTTCAAAAGGATGATATATCATTTTCATAAACTACCTCCAAAATACCTTTACTTTTGTTAACCATTTCCTATACCTAAATGTTACAGTCGCAGAGTTTTTTCGTAAATACTGAAAGTTTCGTAGAATTGGCAATTGAGAGCTTGAAAAATACGTTAATTATAAATGATCTAAAAATTAAAAATAAAACTAAGACTCTTATTAATACTAACAGCTATTAAATAAACAACAAAATTCGAAATAGTACCCAGAATAAAATAATTACAATAACTGCTCAAAATGACCTCTCATTACATTTAAACAGAGTTGTATCCGATATTCAAACGACCTCCCCACATTTCCAGCCATTGGAATACTAATGTTTTGGAAAACAACCCTAATTCTATTTTTCATGTCCTCTCTTATAGTTACAGGTATTTTATGCACCTCATTTTTCACATTCCCAAGCAGAAAAAAATCAACTTTTGTTGAACTGGCGATCTAGCTGGCTACTCAATTGGTCCTCCCCTACCTATCCATCGTTCTGAAAATTGATCATCAAGTTGACCATGAATTACTGCATTATGATGTATTGGAGCCCCATCATGTAGATACCATATTTGCTGACGTATACGAAGAGAAACATTTTCAAGAAGTAGGTATAGGCAACTGATTCTCCAAAAAGTCTAAATAAACATCACTGTTAACTGTTTCCTCGAAAAAATATGGTCCAATTATATAATCACCAACAATACCACCCCAAACATTTAAAGAACATGTTGTTTGAGAAGTAGTAACTATCACATAAGGATTTTCTTTGGCATAATAGTGAAAATTATGTCGAGTTAATAAACCATTTTTATGGAATGTCGACTCATCTCCGAAAAGTACATAATCAACAAAATCTCTTTGATCATGAATTGTTATTTGTGCTCAATTACAAAAGTTTGTTCTTCGCCGAAAATCATCATCCAATAATTCCTGGTGTAACTGAATGTGATATGGGTGCATCTTATTGTTTGATAGTATTTTTTGCACACTTTCATAGCTTATTTCTTGTTCCCTGGAAATTACTCGTATTTGGATTATCCATAATTGCTAATAATACATTGAATTCATTTTTCTCAGTAATACCGTTTTTTGTTTTTTCCTTTTTTTCATACGCTACATTACTTGTACAATTAAATCGATCCATGACTTTCTCGAAATTTCTTTTTTCAGGTAATCGGCGCTTTGGGAATTTTTCATGATAGCAAGCTATTTTTATGACATTCTAGATTATATCGACTCATTCCTCATTGGAAAAATTCATCATTTGCCAATTCCAATTGTATATGTTACGGTCAAAGATGATATTTCAGTCTTTAACGATATTAGCCGGTCATTGTCGTAAATCTGCTATTTGATTGGGCATAATTGATAATAATAGGCCAATAACGTAAACATTCGCTTAAATTGGACAATGTTAATAAACTATAAATGACATAGCTTTTTTATGACTCTGCCCGGGCGTTATCGTTAGCGCCCACTTATGTGTGGGCCACAAACCGCAACGATTTGGATTTGAATAAAATACAGGGTTATGTTTTTGTTTACATCGCTATTTTCTGGCTTTCCGCGTGGGCGATTGATTGGATATTTTTAAAGTTGAAAATAAAAATGTTCGCCGTGACTAGCAGTACATCGAATGTACACGAATTATTTGTACATCGGATGTATCCCCTATTATTTGTACATCATAATTCTAATCTAACTTCATTTCAGATAATGGAATGGAAGACTATTTTTCTGTAGTATTTTATAAACCTTAGATGCAAATTCCACATACATGAATAAATAATAATAATGCCGTGACAACAAGAAGACGAAGCAACGACTTCTTGTAGAGTGGCGGCTTCGCCGCCACCAGAAAATTTAAATCCGTACCTGGCTACGCCGACCGGCATAAACACCAACGCCCTGGACACAGCTCACCTACTCTGTCAAAAGGAGACCGATGTACAAATAAAGCACGTACATCCGATGTACTGCTAGTCACTGTCAAAAATTTTAAGTCACAGTACCAACTCAATTCCACAAAATCAACTTCACCCATTTATTGATAGTCAATGTCATTAATGCCCGGACAAAGAGCAAAAAATAATATATTTTCAACATTGTCCACTTATTGATGGTCGATGTCGTTAATGGCCGGACAAAGATGCAAAGAAAAAATATTATCAACATTGTCCACGATTAATGGGCATTTTCGTTACTGCCCAGATAATAACGATATTGGCCAGCAAATATAGCTGCTGACGTTATTGTCTGGTCAATATCATCAATGCCCAATTTACAATACTGCCCGTAACATATACACAAACAGCAAGAAGAAAAAAATCAAAACTGAAATATTAATTGACAATTAGTTGACAAACAAACATTACTTTATACCTTCTGACAAATACGGCAGTCATGGCCAACTATAAGAAACTTTCAGTATTTGCCAAAAATATCGTTTTATTATTAAAAATCGAAAAAACTCTACGACTGTAACATTTAGGTATAGGGAATGCTTAACAAAAGTAAAAGTATTTTGTAAGTAATTTATGAAAATGATATAAGATATAAGGTGTTCCATTTAAAATAACCGAGAAAATCATGGTCGTGAGTTTTGGGTTACCCTGTATACAAAATGAAAGATATCAAAAACATCATGAGTTGCAACAATACTAGACTACTACGAAATTATTCTGGCCTTGAGATATTAACCCTCAATTGTTGATTCTAAATAATACAGGGTGACGATTTCATTAAGATTTTCACATAATAGTGGCCATTTCTTTAAAAGTACCCTGTAAAACCTGATAATAACTCTGTATTGCCGGAATGGGGAAAATGAGCAAAATTCAAATTCGAGACATATAGGGTGTTCTACTAAAAAAACATAACTTTGGTATGCTGTGACTTTATGAAACACCCTGTATATTACGAAATAATTTTAAAATGTGGAGCTGGACTCTATCTATAATTTGTATTTAAAACTTTTTTTCGTATCTCTCAAAACAACGAAGATATCAAACTCCGGGGTATAAGTCAAACTCTATAAGGAGATGATGCCTATTGATTGTAAAAAAAATTAATAAAAGTGGAGAAGTTAAGGGGATTAAAATATTTAAAATCAATCTAACTAAAAAACGAACAATAATATGTAATAATATTTTTTTGGAAAAATCAAGAAGGGATGAAGCCTATTGATTCTAAAAAAAATCTAATTGAAAATGGGGGTTAAGGGGGTCTGTTAAACTGTGAAGAGTATAATTTAGAATGCCACGCATTATACAGGGTGTTTCGTAATATATGCGCAGGACTTCAGGACGTAAAAGCTCGTCCAAAAATATGAAAAAACGTTTCTATTAACTTACCCTCTAAAATGCACCATTTTCGAGATACAGGGTGTTGAAATTGAAAAAAAAAAATTCTACGCCACTGGAAAAAGTACGGTTTTGAGACACCCATTTGAACCGCCAATGTTTTCTACACAACAAAAGTACTCTTGGTCATACGCTCTAAAGTCGACCGTTTTCGAGAAAAATCAAATTTTGTTTCATCAAGTATGTATGATCATGTATTTCAACATTTCATCAAGTAGGTTTTAAATTTCAAAACAACATTAAAATTTGATTTTTCTCGAAAACGGTCGACTTTAGAGCATATGACCAAGAGTACCTTTTTTGTGTAGAAAACATTGGCGGTTCAAATGGACGTCTCAAAACCGTACTTTTTCCAGTGGAGTAGAATTTTTTTTTTTTCAATTTCAACATCCTGTATCTCGAAAATGGTGCATTTTAGAGGGTAAGTTAATAGAAACGTATTTTCATATTTTTGAACGAGCTATCACGTCCTTAAGTTCTGCGCATATATTATAAAACACCCTGTATAGAAAGTTCAGTAGAAAATAAAATTAATGTATCTAATACAATAATAAACTGGATAGAAAAACGAAACCATGATATAAATATCGATATGTCTTCAACATCGAGAACAATACAAACAGGAGAAATTCTACAAATTAATTATTCGAATTGTACAATTCAAAACTTATATATTTATAAAAAGTAATAGCAATTATAAATGTAGTATATAATCCTAGATATAGTTTTTTTAGTTCAAAAATTTTGTTGTTGAACATGTTTCAAATAAATTAATAGTTTTCAGTTAAAGTACTTATTTAAACTTATCGTAGAAAAAATAGTGTATGCAACTCTCATGTAATTGCTATTAATACACTCGCTTGAGATTTACGACACTCGTCTGCGGCTTGTGTCGTAACTTACCTCGGGCTCATGTTTTAATAGCTATCAGTACATGATCGTTGCATAATACACTATTAAAAAAAACGTTGATCTTGACTTTGTCACCAAATGTTAAACAGTAAAAATAATTTATAACAGATTTCGTCCATCTCTTTACCCTGCATTATTTGGTGCTTTGATACTCTTATCAGTTAACGTTTTCATGTGTTTTTTTTTATTTTTTTATTTGCCAAATATCTATTAGAAATTCTTTATCATGCAAAAATATGAGGTCACTCCAATATTTAATAAAATAAAACTTATAAATATTTTAATTGTCTCTTTTTAAATAATGAATTTTGTAAAGTCACTCTATATGCATATGAAAATATTAACTGTATTTACTGTTTATCAATCTCGATTACCGAGAAAACATTAAATATGCCAAAATAAATTAATAACATCAATAAAATAAACAATTTCAAATTAAAAATTGTAATGTTTTACGATTGTCAACATCGCTATATCATTAATGATGCAAAATAAAAACAAGTTTGCCAACTATTTAGTCGACAATCCAAGAATTCATAACGCCTTTCAAATTCTCGATAAATTACTTAAAATCAACAAATAACAAGTCAATGAACAATTAAATATCAATTAGTTTTACTGAGTTAATGTTTATTTCTCGCAAAACAAATTAAAAAAAAACCAGTCTAGTTAATTTACGAAGATGTCAAGTGGTGGGTAATCCACAATATAGATATTTACCTGCGCTGATTGTTATTATTATTATTAATATTAACATCATAATGTCAGTAATCATAGCGTTATTATCATTATCACATCGTTCAATTGTTAACAGTAATTTTTATCGCGACATCTACAGATTGATAAAACTCAAAAAAGTGCTACATAGAGAAATCAGTTACCTTACAACCATCAAACGAAAATTGTTAATCGGAGCAATTTTTTGATTTGCAAAAAAAGACGCATACGTTTATGATACCTAATCAAAATTTTTTAAATATAAATTTTTGTTTACGGAAAAATGCTTTCGTTTCTGGTGTAGCAAGCAAACTTGTGTAATAGTGAAATTCATTTAGTTTACGTTCTATTTTTGACGAAAATTTAATATGGAGACCACTCCTGATTCTCTAGATCCTGAGGTTACTCCAAGAACCGGTAATGATTCTACAGACACTAATATTTTGATTATATCGACCGTTGTACCAGTTAGTATGTTTGTGATCATTTTTGTGGCAGTCTGGAGAGTCAACAGTAAGTCAAATAATATTAATATTATAAGATAAAACTAATAGCAAATCCATACAATCTTTAAGTTATAAGATAAAACAGTATCAGATTCTCAGTCCATATGTTCTCTTTTTTTTTTAAATACTTTCATAGTGTTTTCGAGTTAAAAATATCCATTCAAGCCAATGAGAATTGTTTCAATAATTTTTGTATAAAAATACTATAATGAAGATATATGTATAATGCTTGATATTCTATATTATACTCTTCATAGTTTAACATACTCCCTTAACCCCAGTTTCAATTAGATATTTTTTTTCAGAATAAGTAATCTTCATTCCTTATAAATCTTAATTTTTTCTGAAGAATTCAATTTGATATCGTTTTTTGTTTCTAAGCTAAGATTTTTTCAATATTTCAACCCCCCCTTATCTCCCCATTTTTATTTATTTATTTCCCTATAGGGACCGTGCGTCGTGACTTTAACGCCAACTGGTGACAAAAATGTGAATTTTATGGGGGGGGGGGGATTTATTAAATTTTTATCTCATTTATTGTTTAGTAATTATTAATTAAATAAATTCGAATTATTTTCGTAATATCATTATTGAAAAAACTTCGGAAACATAGATTTGATTCGTTAGTAAATACATTTTATAAATTTCCAAAGAGCACACTTGGTGTCTCACACCCAATGATATAAATAGTTACATAGATTGGTTATCCATATGTAAATCGGACGACAAAAAGCGTATTTCACTGGGCGACGTTTTCTTTGTGTCTAATACATGTTTTGTATCAATTTTGAGATCTCAGTTGTAAACAAATCATTTACAGAACCGGTTTAGAAATTAGAATCTTTAGTGTTTTCTTGTCATTCAGATTTTTACATCTTTAAATGTTGATTTTATATAAATATTATTTGACAGATAATTAAATTAATGGTTTATTTTGTTAATTAAAACTAATGTAGGGTGTTACTATGAAATTAGAATGTCTAATTTGACAAAAATATTATTGTTCTATTTACTATTTATTAACTAATTTTCATTTATCACTAAAATAAACAAACCATAATTAAGACATTGCAATTACTATCAAAATAGATTGCAAAACGAACTTTAAAATATTAAAAATCTAGTGATTTGTTGTAAAATTTTAGTAACATTACCATTAAACATTACTCAGAATAATAGATAAGTGTCCAATAACAAGTTGTTTTATCTCATATCAAAGTTGTATTACATATTGAAATTATGTGTTTTATATCGTGTTATTTCTGAAACGACAGTGGTCCAAAATTATTTACATCCATCTGTTGTAAAAATTGTTTAGATCTCTTAATATTATTTAACTACATAGAAACTCAACTTTCAAAATAATATCGTGTCTTGAAGTAAAAATTAAATTATTTTCTTTTTTCTAAAGATTCAAATGCTGAAATTTTATTTTAAAACACATTTGGGCTAGAACGGCTCTATTCAGTGGGCACTGAGAAAGGCAATATTCGCGATTCAAGCTAAGTGATACGCTCTCTGGAGGAAATTTGTAGAAGGTCCCTATAAGTAGGATATCGTTCAGTGTTGCCAGAAGTAGCAAAATTTCGCTACGTCGTCGGATTTTAGCTCTTGAAGAAGTGGATAATACCTTTTATTTAAGAATCAAAATTTGTATCTAGTAATATGTAATCATACTCTATATTTATTTAAGGCTTTTTTTATAAAACCGATTTATTTTATTAATTTTTTTTTTAAATTTAAGTTTATTTATTAATTTTGTTTTAAAATCAGTTCATCATTTGGCAACATTGGCTTTCGTGTTCATTGTTAACATTTTAATTTGTATCAATTTCAATTCTAGTTTTTTTCTTATTTTTGCTTTAAATTTGTTTATTTTTTATAGTATGTGATAGTGTTTATATTAAAAATTAAATCTGCGAAAAAGTCCGCAGCAAATTGACTACATGGTTTTAATGTCAAAATCAAAACAAAAGTATTCATTATTTTCCAAGTGCAAGTCGTCAAATTTTGTTTTTTACGATAAATGTATATCTACAAACTCAAAATATTGAAATTTTGCAAAACTTTGTTAAGAATCAAACTATAATCTGATTTGTGACGGTTTTATTACAAAGTACTGCATAATTCACTTCATAATATAAGAATAATTAAGATTTTTAAATAAGTTCATTAATAATAAACGTTTGGGGTTGCGACAGAGAGCCAGTAAATTTGATGAAGGTGTTTTTGTGGCTAGGGGCGAAATAGTAGTACGCTTAAGTTAGCACCACCATAAAAAAGTAATTTTTAAGAAACTGCTTATATATTTTTCATAAATTGGCAGGCTTGGCGACTAATTTCGAAAAAAAATAGCCTCCAAAATGGCTATAGTTGCAAATATGAAGGTCGCAATCCGCCTTAGAAAATTCACCTTTACTATCAACAGCTGTTGTTTGACAGGTCGTTAGAGAATGTTTGCAATTTATGGAATCTAAAGAATGTTAGGAATGTTGACGTTAGAAATAACTGGAATTCCTAAAATTGTCACATAAGAAATGCATAAGCAGATTTTAAGAAAATTGATATTAAAGTAGTTAGGATGAACCGAAAATTCTGAAAATCAGTAGGGTTCTAAGTTAGAAGAAATTATTCAAGAAAATCAAAACCGCAAGTCAATCAGAACTTTCATTCTAGAGTTATTGTGCTGGCATACATACACACAGACGACTAGACGAAAAATTTTTTTTTTGCAATTTCGGAAACATAAAAAAAAGTTTTAAAAATGGGGGTAAGAAAATTTTTTCGTCTGCACGAATGCAATACTGATGCCCCATAGGAAGGGCTTCAGTAACACTAGAGAGGACTAACTTCGGCAGTAGTGTTGCCTCTATATTTCATGGCCGGTCGCTACACTGCTGTCATAAGCAAAACCTCGGATGTTTACAAAAAATTAATTTATTAGTTTTAGTATTTTGATCGGTAATACCAATATAGCTGCTTTTGTTGAATTAAAGACAATTTTTGGATAATGCTTTTAACTAGTTGAAAATAAGTTTGATTTATTTTTTTGTTTTGACTTGTGGTTTAAAAGGTTTTTGATCTATAAAAATTTTAGCTACAGTGAAGAATTAAGTTGACATTTTAGGATAAAGAATAATTATTACCGTCATTAGTATCAGAATGGCCGAATAACCTCAAATATTTGTAATTTGTTAGCTACGGGGGTTTGGCTTATGACGGCAGTATAGGGCTCGATTTTTACGAAACATTTCATGATAACGTCGCTTTTGGTTTTTTATTTCTATTTTTTTTTTATTTTAATTTCCCTTGAACCCCATTTTATTTAGATTTTTTAAATTCAATAGGCTTTGTCCCCTTATTGAGCTTGATTTCTACTAAAATTTTCATCTTAATATGGCTATTCGTTTTTGACTTATATTTTTTTTATTTCAATCCGACTTAAATTCCCCATTTTTATTAAATTTTTTTCAAAATCAAACTGCTTCTTCCCCTTACAGAGCTTGATTTATGCTAAAATTTTGAGTTGGGATTTTCTTAAATTTTTTAATCCTCCTCTAACCCCCAATTTATTCAGATTTTTTTAGAATCAATAGGCTTCATCATATTATAGAGCTGGATTTTTACTAAAAATTTCATGTTGATATCGCTTTTCGTTTTTAATTTAAGATTTTTTTTTTTAATTTCAACCCCCTTAACTCCCCTTTTTTAATCAATCAATCAAAAAAGCCTTTATAGAATTTGATTTTTACTAAAAATTTCAAGTTAATATAATTTTTTGAATTTAAAGAAGTTTGAAAGCCATAATTTAAAAAAGGGTGTAAAGATATACGTTTTAAATGGGATGACTTTTAAGGTATCCACCGAGTGACGTTACAGTTGTTAACCCAACACAAATTCAGCTATCCTTTTGTTGATAGTAAGTCTTTAAATTTGGATAGCTGGCGTCATTTGTCAATCAAATAAATTCACTTGTTTTAAACTTTTGGATAATACAAAGTAGTAATTATTATGAAGACTCTCTAGTCTTCATAGTAATAATAAAATTATGTTTAAAAGTTTTCGAAAAGTACTTTGAAGAGCTTTTTAAAGTGTTTGGAAATGTTATGTCAAAAATAAGGTATTTTTGTTTATTTCTTTCTCGTTGATTTTACTTAGACACCGCTCATATTTGAATTGACCGAGCATGACAGATAATATGATATAATTCTAAATTTTATAAAATAGGCACGGCATAAGAAACAATCGGCAGGCTAACTTGTATTAGCGGCAACGTTACGCGCACATCTACGCGCACACCGCCATTTTGGGGTCCAACCTCTCAATCAAGCCAGTGGCGTCACTGTCGTCGTTTATATCGACAAAAACAAACAAGTTGCAGCAGCTCGGAATCAGTAGCGTGGGTCTTAAATGTATTTTGTTTGTGATGTGTGTATTATGTAGTTATTGTTATTTTTTTAGAATTATAGATATTTTTTGACACTTTTTATATAGTAGTTGTTTTCCAGTGTTAATTTGTTAACTTTTACGTGTTTTACTATGTCTGGGCAAAGTTGTGCAGCAAAAAACTATATGAATAAACTGTATTAAAAGATTTTTTAGGTAGGTATGTATGGTATACTTTTAAAAAAAAATCCTAGGTTATGGGTCAGTTTGTCAGTTATAAACCTATTATTAAGATGTAGTTAGGTGCCTAGTTAACGTCACGTAAAGTTTAGGGTCAATTTATATTTACTTATGTAGGTATATTATTAAGATTTAAAGTAAAATGTTATATTTTAAACATCTCCTGTATGGAGTTGACAAAATGGAAAAATCTTTATTTTTATTTTAAGGAAAAGTCATTATAAAAAATTCTCTTTGACGAAAAAATAGGTTTACTATATTAATATGTTAGGTCAGGTGTACAGGGTCTTAATAAATGAAGAAACTTGAAATTGACAAAAATCTGTATTACCTATTGATTTTACGAAGAAAAGTCACAGTTTTCCTGTCGGTTTTCCTTCATAACTTTAAAAGGAAACTTTTTCTTGTAATTTTTTTTAACAAGCAGAATTTTTTGTAAGAAATGACTTTTTTTTTTTTTTCAGAAAAAAATGAATATTAATCATAATTGTATTATTTCCAAATATTAAAATGCTTAACAAAAATTTAATTCTGATATTCATTTTGATAATAATTATTCTAGATATGCGAATAACAAAGCTTTATAATCTTGATAAATCTAAAATATTTTGATTACAAAAAGCAAGAAAATCTTAATTAGCCATTAAAGAAATTATAAGTAGTACCTAAATTAAAAATTAGTAATGAGTCACATACAATCAAAATCATGTGACTTAAGCAGTTTTTCGCTTTCAACGATTGTTTTTTTTTTTGTTTTTTGTTTTTCGTTTCAGGATTTATGGCTGGAACGATTATAGAAAAATTTTGTTTGTTTTATGTTATTTAATATAGTTGTTTATTCAGAAAATGTATATTATGTTTATTGTTGTAACCAATAAAGATTCTACAAATAATATTTAGTTGTTACAATTTTGTATTATTGATTTTACACTTTTAAAATTATTTAACATAAAATTTTACATTTTTATTTGCATTTTTTAATACGCCTGAGATGCGTATTAAAAAAATGCTAATAAAAATGTAAAATTCTTATATTTTGTCGAAGTAAATTCAAAAGCCCGCCAATTTTCAAACTAAAATAGCATTAAATCTTTCTATATTACCGACTGAGTATTAATTTCACAAAACTATTCCATATGTCGCTGAAGGTAAACATGCTTCCAAATTTCTGTGAGGAATCTGCAACTCTTATTATCCTTCCTCCATGATGGTAGCTGTGTAAACCCTACATCGGTCCAATTTCATAGGACGTTCAAGAAATTGCAATGTTTAAATGTATTACATTCTGGAACTGAAAACTGCGAAACAGGTGGGGATGCTTTACTTGTAAGGCTGCATGAAATTCGTAGGACTTGTAAGGATGAGCCATTTTCCAAAATCGCGTGTAATGGTGGCAATATTGTCGAAAATGTAAATATAAACAAGCATATTAATGAATTGCATGCACAAAATATTAATATTTTTTAAGAAAATTTTATTATATATGCTGATTTTTTATAAAAAATATCTTAAAATTCACAGTTGCGACGTATGTACACAATATGCCTCACCACACGAAGACTTGGATACAAGCTCCATGTATTATTATAAACCATACAAAAAAAAAAGAAATGAAGATATTTTTGGCAATTTAAAAATGTCAAATAATAGTTTTGTATGTTTAATAACAAAAATTGAAATAATTTTTCAACAAAATTTTGAATTATTTATCACTAAATCCGGCGTTTGTATTTTTTTTTTTTAGATTTAATTAATTCCGAGATAACATTTAACGCTCCTTGTCCCCAATTTCCAGAAATATATGTTACTAAGTTACTAAGGCTACTCATATATTACACTTTAAAAATATTAATAGAAATTTTAAGACCATCAATAAAAACAAGCTAATTATTTGGCGCAATCTGTAGAGCATATTGTCTTTCTTAATGCTATTTTTATAAGTTAAATTAAAATATATTTTATGTTAATTTTTACTTTTTTGTTTTAATACGATCCTGTCTGTCAATTACCTTATTTCACCTTATTTTATTACAAAATCTTTAAATACGCTTTAATCCGACCCTGACTAAGACCCCCAAATGGCGTCGCCAAGGTCAAATTTTCTTAGTATAATATTTGTATGCGATCAGCGGCAAGTGAGCCTGCCGATTGTTTCTTATGCCGTGAAATAGGTTTACTTAAATGATCACCTAATGATGCTCATAAGCCTTTAATATATATAATTTATAAGGTTTACGGTGGTATATTTGAAATAGGGTTGTAATTAACTGAACAGTATTTAATTCATTATGTGCAGTATAATATTACAAGCAGTCAGTAAAATATTGTAAAAGACTCAGAACTTTGATAAAATATGATGAGTAAACATTGAATTTTGTAGCAGTAAAATTATTATTTGGCCTGTATTTCTATGTTCACTTTTGTAATTATAATGTCAGTATGAATTAGCCGGTAATAATTCTACAAATGGTCAGTAAGAATAAATAAATGGCCAGTATGCAGTAGTCGGTAATAATTTTGAAAATGTGCATTAAATAAGTAGTATTATGTTTTTAGATCGAGTGTTTCATGTTTTTGGGCTATCGGTTTGCAGCAAAGAAGAAACTGAAGATTTTATGTTTTTGTTTAAAACAATTAAGTCTGCATGTCAGGATATATTTCAAAAATCAATTTCCCCAAAATACACTCGCGTATCGGGGACAACACTAATGATTAATGATTTGTAATTGAGGTGGTGGGAGGTGTTTGTTTGAATGCGTCTTGTTTGTTTTCATTTACTAGCAGTAGTATTTTATAAACCATAGAAGCAAATTTCACATACATGAACAAATAATATTAATGCCGTGACAACAAGAAGATGAAGCAACGACTTCTCGTAGGGTGGCGGCTTTGCACCACCAGAAAATTTTGATACATACCTGGCTACGCTGACTGGCATAAACACCAACGGTCTGGACACAGCTCACCTACTCTGTCAAAAGGAGACCGATGTACAAATAAAACGCGTATTAATATACTGACCATTTATAATTTTCACCGACCATTTATTATTATACTGACCATTTAATATTTTCACCGACCATTTAATATTATACTGACCATTTATAATTTTCACCGACCATTTATTATTTTCCCTGACCATTTAATATTTTCACCGACCATTTATTATTATACTGACCATTTATTATTTTCCCTGACCATTTATTATTTTCCCTGACCATTTATTATTTTCCCTAACCATTTATTTTTATATTGATCATTTATAATTTTCACCGACTATTTACTATTTTACTGACCATTTATAATTTTCACCGACCATTTATTATTATACTGACCATTTAATATTTTCACCGACCATTTATTATTATACTGACCATTTATTATTTTCCCTGACCATTTATTTTTATATTGATTATTTATTATTTTCACCGACCATTTAATATTATACTGACCATTTATAATTTTCACCGACCATTTAATATTTTCACCAACCATTTATTATTATACTGACCATTTATTATTTTCCCTGACCATTTATTTTTATATTGATCATTTATTATTTTCACCGACCATTTAATATTATACTGACCATTTATAATTTTCACCGACCATTTAATATTTTCACCAACCATTTATTATTATACTGACCATTTATTATTTTCCCTGACCATTTATTGTCTTACTGACCAACTGAAATAAAATAATGGAAAATTGTACTTGCCATAAAATTTAAATAATGATCACTTAATTTGTGCCGTTTGAAAAATACTCTCCTTCCTAAAGCCTAAAATGTAAGTGTAAAAAAATTGTATTTTTAAGAAAAGGGCGTCTTCGCAATATTTACCTTATTCTGATTTTTGCCAAATAACATGGCCGGTTAATTATTCTATGGGGTTGCGACAAAAAACCAGTAAATTTGATGGTGTTACTGTGGTTAGGGGCAAAATAGTAGTAAGCTTAACTTAGCAACACCATAAAAAAATAATTTTTTAGAAACTACTTATATATTTTTCATAAATTGGCAGGCTTGGCGACTACTATTTCGAATAAAAATAGCCTCCAAAATAGCTATAGTTGCAACTATGAAGGTCGCAACCGCCCTTAGAAATCTCACTTTTACAATCAACAGCTGTTGTTTGACAGGTCGTTAGAGTGCCTAAATTGGAATGTTTGCAATGTATGGAATGTTAGACGTTAGGAATGATTGAAATGTGTACATTAGCGGATTTTAAGAACATTGATATTAAAGTATTTAGAATGAGCCGAAAATTCTGAAAATCAATAATAAGTTAGAAGCAATTATTCAAGTAAATCAAAACCGCAAGTCAATCAGAACTTTCATTCTAGAGTTATCGTGCCGGCATACATACGTATAGACGATCAGACAAATTTTTTTTTGCATTTTCGGACTCAAAATGATCGGAAACATGAGAAAAAGTTTATAAGAAAATGTTTTCTTCTGTACGAATGCAATACTGAGGCCCCATAGGAAGGGTCCCAGTAATTTGAAGTCTAATTTATTTGGTGCTCATAAAACATTTTTATTAACCGACTTAAAAAAAAGGAGGAGGTTCTTAATTCGTCGGATGTATGTATGTTCATCGATAATTGTTTACTACGTTATCCCATTTCTATGACTCTTTTTTTGTTAAAACGAGGGTACCTCAGGGGTGGTCCCATATAAATTTTATCAAGATCTAATGTCGCGGTCCATAAGGAAATCATTAAACTCTTCGCTTTTAAAGTATTTTCAGCAATAATTCTTTATCACGTTGTCCGATTTCTATGATTCTTTTTTGTTAGAAAGGGATACATGAGGAGTACGTCCATATACAATTGGTAAAAATCTATTGATCTATGAGAAAATCAAAAATTTTAATTTTTAAGTCGGTTTTTTAAAATTACTTTTTTAACTTGTTTTAGGAAGAATACGTAGAGGTGCCACAAATCGAAGATCCAACAATCTTCTTAAATCCTCTGTATACATCATACCCAGCCATGAGTATCAACCGAAAAGCATACTTAGACCAGACGTAGTGTCAAATCCCCCACAATTAAACACGCTGGATGCAGAGTCTGGTAAAAAACAGAAGAAAAAGGGTCACCTCAAAATTAAAATCGCATCGAAAAAGACGAAAAACCAGAATTACTCTACTGGTGCTTTTCCTAGAGACCCGATCTATAGAAATCAAGAAAGCCCGTCTTACATTGTACCTTTTTCAGCGCTTCCACACAATTTTGGTAAGTTAACATATAGTAAAAAAAGTATAGTGTTTAACACGCAAGGAATAATAGTAACTTTGTTTTATTTATCATTCATTCAATTATTATTTTTTTACAATAATAAATTTATGTACATAAAATAAAGATGAGACAAGTTTAATAAAGTTTAATAAAAAAAAAGTTTAATGTTATAAAACGTACTGGCTAACCGACTGCCGGTGGTAGTTGAATTTAATAAAACGAAAACCGTCTTCTCACATATAAGAAAGCCGCCGAAAATCTAAACTGATTTGTTGATGAGGGCGGCAGGCTATCAGAGTATTGATAAGGCCGCCGGACGACGGTCTACTGTATCTGAAACATTAAATGCCGTCGGAAAAAACTCGCGTATCGGGGACAACACTAATCATTTTTAATTGCTGTGGTGGGAGGTGTTTGTGTGAATGCATCTTGTTTGTTTTCATTTACGCCGTCATTAGCTGTAGTATTTTATAAACCTTAGAAGCAAATTTCACATACATTAACAAATAATAATAATGCCGTGACAACAAGAAGACGAAGAAACGACTTCTCGTAGGGTGGCGGCTTCGCCGCCACCATAAAATTTTAATCCATACCTGGCTACGCCGACCGGCATAAACACCAACGGCCTGGACACAGCTCATCTACTCTGTCAAAAGGAGACCGATGTACAAATAAAACGCGTACGACATATGATCATTTGCCACAAAAATGTAGACGATTTTACAAGTATTTTTTCTTACCACCGGCATTCAATGTTTTAAATACAGTAGACCGTCGTCCGGCGGCATTTTTCAATTTACTGATAGCATGCCGCCCTGATCAAAAAATCAGTTTAGATTTGCGGCGGCTTTCCTTTTCAACAAATGCAAGCACCGCCGGCGGTCGGTTAGCCAGTATATTTATAAAATACAGATAGAGTTGTAAAAGTAAATAGAATAAATAAATAATCATAACACGTAAGGTTACGTAACACGTAAGGTTACGTAACACGTAAGAAAAATAATTTTACTATTTTAATTAGAAAAAAAATTAAATGTCTATTACTTTATCCTTTCCAAAGTTTTTTATTATTTCCTCGAATTCTCCTTTTTTCTAGACATATTTTTTTTAATTGTTAGATATTAAAAGAAATCGTCATTTGTAATGAATCTAACTAATTTCAAGAATGCCATGCGTTTTTGTGTTTTTCCTAATGCGATTGTAATGAACAAAACCATTTTATTTTCCCAGTTAAATTCCTTTTTATTTTTTATTATAACAGCAAATTGACTATTATCTATTTTCAATTAAAATGTTGTAGGTAGTTTTAATATGTCTGTCGATTTGAAAGGATTTACAAATAGACCAGAGCATACTGGCGCATTCGTTTGCAAAATTGTTTTAATTCGTATTTTTTTTTTTTTAAATGTCCGGAAGGCTTTCCTGATTATAAAAGTGTAAGATGACTATTTGTTGATGTTATTGTTTAAACAACGAAAAATTAATTAAACCAGAAAAAATGCATTTTTTGCAATGAAATATTTTTTTTATATTCTTTAGGATATTTCGAATAAAAAACTCCTTGCGTCCATCATCGTATCTTCAACCCTTTAATTGTTATGAATTTTTTAAAATCCAAAATTGAGGAAAATTCTAATTTTCTTGAATTAAATAATATACCTTAAAATTTAAAATGCTATAATTTTAAATTATTTACCGAATATTCAAACTATAATAAACAAAACAACCTAAATAAATTATCAAAATTTTGTTTGTTGTTATGTTTTTTACGTTATAACAATATGCTTCCTACGCGCGTGTACTTTTAGATAGAAGTACTTCTCTCTGCATTTTTTCTGGCTTAATTAATTTTTCGTTGTTTAAACAAATATCGATATCATCTTACACTTTTATAATCAGGAAAGCCTTCCGGACATTTAAAAAAAAAATTACGAATTAAAACAATTTTGCAAACGAATGCGCCACTATGCCCTGCACTAAAATATTAAAGATTTATGTTTCAAAAAGATTCATCAGTTTGGTTTTTATGCAGATACTGGATGGGACGCATTAAATTTTTTGGTGAATACCGTTTCTTGTTGTAAAGGACATCGCTCTGTGAAGATCGCTAAACTTTTCTGAAACTTTGGTATGTTGTTGTACTCAACCTAGTCATCGTACATTATGAACGATGACCTAGTTACCAAAAGTGGCAATGGGCCCAACTCAATTCTTTGACTAGTTTACGATATCGGGGTGTTATAGTTGAAAAATGTACACCTCTATTTTATAGCCGATCAAATGCTGTTATTTTAAAACGTTTTCATAACAACCAGAAACAAATTTTCGAAAAGTTTTCTCTTGATGGGTACCCTGCATGAAATTACACTGGACATTTTTTGACATTTGAGCAGCTCTTTCATGCACATGATAGTACTACGCGATGCGAAAAAAAAATGCCATTTCAATTGTTAAAAATTTATTTATTATCAATTATAGACGGAAATATACTACATTTATTTTAAATAAAATAATAATTAGGGTGTTCGCGTCTACTAAATGACTTAAAATATGACTCGTGAGTTTGAAAATAAAAATTCCGATAGACTAGGCAATTTGCATACCCTATACAGGGTCTACTATTTTATAGGGACAGCCCAAGTAACCGAACGATTTTATTCACTACTTCAAGGATGCTTTAAAACTGTAGAATAAAACTGCAATTAAAACCAATTAGTTTTAAAAGAGGCCTTAAGGTTGTAATAAATACTTCCTCAGCATAAAAGGGCCTACTATGAAAGAGGTTAATAACACCAAAAATAAAATCCACCATAAAACTATATTACCTTGAATAACTGATTTTAAATAATAAAAATTAAAAAAATTGAAAAAACATAAATTTTAAAGAAAAATAATTTTATCTATTATTTTAGTATTTTCTGTATAAAGAAATCGAAATTATACGTTAAAGTGGTAAACTTGTTGTTTTTATGTAAGCCTAATATTTTTATCTATCGTGACTTCCACCATCTAGAGAAAGTAAAATGGCCGGAAATTAAATAAAACCATCTAGTTAATGGACAAGGAAACGTTAAGATCAAAGTGTTTTATTTAATCGAATTTTATACTGTTCCAAGAACACATACTCTAGACTAAAGCAAGGTTCGCTCGTGATTTAAACGGTTTAGTTTTAATGCGGCTGGGATAAATGCCATTCGGTTTTAATGTTAACCTAACCTGCTTAAAATCTCCGTGTCGTATCAGTCGTTTGTGTTTTGTGTATTTTTAGAGAAAAAATAAGATATTGTTTTTAGTTTTTTTCTAATTATTGTAGGTACACCACTGTTTGACATGATATAAAATGCGGGATTCATTTGGGCCACGTAAGAAGAGAGGATAAGTTAAGTTTTATTGTTTCTAACAAGAAGTATAGTTAGTCTTTACGATAACCAAATTGATTTAGTTAAGAGCGTTCCGTTTTAATATAGCTTTCTAATTGCATGTAAGAAAGCCGTTATAAGGCAAAGTAATGAAATAGTTTTAAAACGCAATATTTACTGACCAAATTGTCCTAAGATTAAGCAGATTTATTAATAGGTTTTATTAGTTACATTAGGAATCTCTTTAAAACTTCTTTAAAACTACTTAAAAACTATAACGTCACAATCTAGAACATAATTTAAACCCAACAACCTGCAAGTACTTCATAAAACTAAGTGGTTTTAAAGTTAATTGAAACTAAACCATTTTAAAACTACAACAAGATGAACAAACTTTTAAGATTAATTATCCGAATCATCGAATCTTATTAGATACTTTAAAACCAATATTAAATGCTAAACAGCTTTTGAGTGCCCGCAGTATATCTACAAGGTAACTTTAAAACCAGTATCTTCTTATTTACCACATTAAAACCATTTTAAAATTAAAATAAACCCAAAGTGTTTTTATAGTGCTACTTGGGAGTATTGCTATTTTTTAAACGGTAACCGATAGAACGTTAGTTAAATTAGACAAAAGTTGCGCAGTTTTGCGCTCATTAAAATGGTGCCAAGAAACCTTTGATATCTACAGGGAGATTCAAAATATCGGAGAAAATATTAAAATTGTCATTTCTTTAAATTCACTAATTTGTTGTCCGATATTTTGGTATCAAAGGTTTCTTGGCGCCATTTTATTGAGCGTAAAACTGTGCATTTTTTGTCTAATTTAACCAACTTTCAATATGTTACCGTTTAAGAAAGAGCAATACTGTCCCTATAAAATAGTAGGGACCCTGTATATCGAAAACTAGTCATAGGATTGAGTTAAGTCTATAGATACTTTTCGTTTCTAGGTTGAGTACAATAAAGTACTAAAGTTTCAGAAAATTTAACTAGTCACTATGTTACATAAGGAAAGTCCTTTGTTAGGCAATTCAAAATACAAGGTGTCCACCTATAAACTGTCACATTTTAATAACTTTAAACTCGTTAACTTTTTTCGGCACTTTTTATAAAAAATATTACACGTGGCAACAATGTCAACAAAACCCACCAAATAGAAATTCAGACAGGACTTGGACCAAAATGATATTTGAGCCAAATCTACACAGACAAAACTGGAAAATCAGCTAAAACTAGATTTAAAGCCCACCCATCAAAATTAATATTCACCTGATTTTTAAATGGCACCATATTTTTGATTGTGAATAAAATCATTATTTTCCTGATGTTTTGCTTCTTTTCGTTGCAGATTTTTCGTTAAAAACAATTGAAGTACACAGCGATTTCGTAGTAATCAAAGATTTGGACGTACTACATTCTTATTGGTACGAGACCGATATCAACAAAGAAGAATACCAGAAGCCACCCTCTTTGAACCCTAATTTTAGACCCTAATATTCAGAACTGTTTAATAGAAAGTTTTTTTTTAACTGTAAAGCAGTGCTGGATTATTAACAAAGGGAGGTAAGAATACCAACTAACTGTAAAGGGCAAAAAACGTGAGAAAAAACATGAAAAATTGTAATAAAGAACTTATTTTTGTTGTTCCTACGACATTTTCTAACAACTTTTCTTTAATTAATAAAAAAAATTAATGAAAAAGACAGAATTTGGACAAATATTCAGATGATATACAGAGGTTGCTATACTGGGAGTTCAAATTAAAGTGTAAAAGTTTTATAGTTTTTTTTTTGGGAATCATTTTGGAGAAAGTCATTTTTTTATAGCTGACCATAATATGGCCGTCTCGAGGTGGACTTTTTTTCAAATTGGAACCTCATTTTTTTACATATTCTTAAAGTTCATAAAAAATAAGAAACTTTTAAAGCTAACATTTTTTTTATTGGACTTTTACTTATTGAGTAACACCTACTTGAAAATTTTGCTGCGCGAAAAAAAAGTAGCTATAAAGAAAGATTTTAGCCAAAATGTCTACCCCAAAAAAATATAAAACTTTCGTCTGAGACCTTTTTTTATAAAAGGCGGTATTTAACTGTAACACTTTAATTTGAACACTCGATATAGGTATTCAGTTCAAATTAATTTTTGTGCCATAAATCTTTAGATAATGTATCACTATACAAAACTCAAATGTCTTATAATGTGACGTCATGTGAATGGCAGCAATATTGCATTAAATTTCTTATTTTTTCCGATTATTATTCTATGCATGATTGTTAACCAATCTCAAAACTAAAGCACCAGTATTAAATCGGTTTGGAAGACGGTCTACGATTTTAAAATCGATCATCGTAAACAATTTAGTTGACGAGCATTTTTATCCAGTCATTCTAATTATCATGAGGTTACTTTCGAAACCAGACACATGAATTAGAAAATTTTACTTTTAAACTGATAAAAATTTTCAAAGTGTTTACATCAATTGTTCGTACTAAAAATAAAACATTCCAAAATAGGTACATAGAGGAAGTATTTTATCTCCATAATAACGTGTAATTGCTTCATTATAGTTAAAATCGAATTGATTACAGTATTTTTCAATTCTTCAAACAATAGATTCAAAAAAAATAATAGTATAAGGGTCAATTGCTTGATATCTGGTGCATATTGATAACAATTGGACGCTGTAATCTTTCTCACTTTACTCGTGTGGCATCATTAATTTAGCGTATTACCTTATACTGCCACCCTACGGCGAGAAGCAAGAAATATTAAAAAATTTCATCCCAAATCGAGTACGTGATAGAAATTTACTTTCCTGCTGTGAAAACTAAGAACTGTTGTAGTGTTGCAAACAGTCAAGAAAGCGAGAGGCAAGAGGAATGAGAAGAATGGTTTTTTGTAACATTATAACGATTTGTATTGATGGTTGATGCTATGTTGTTATTTTAATCAATTTTCATGCTGTAAACCTAATAGTACGGTACTATTTGTAACAAAACTGCTATAGAAATTAATTCTGTAGGGGACTAAGTGTCACAAGCTGAATTGTTAGTGAATTGAAAAATTATATTTTGGAGATTCTAAAGCCGGAGGTATTCCAAAATTAGACCATGCAGAAGGGCACTATTTTCAAAAAACGTGATATTGGTACCATTGCATAGAGCGTAACGTGTACTACAATATGACCGCAAAATCAAAAAGTCACTTTACAAGTTAAGTAAATGTAAATTTGTAACATGTTTGCTTGCAGCGACCTGTGGGGGGAAGGAGTAGAACTAATCTTACTCTGTCAGTAATGTAGTTAACAGCAGTATTACCATCAACTCTTACTCTGGCGGTAATGCAGTTACCCGTAATTTTATATTTAATTTGAAAATTGGTGGGTTTTTTTAAAGGAGAATTTACTTTTGCAAGTATTTTCTAACTAATACGAAATATAGCCATACAAAATTTTGGTAGTAATTTTTAGTGAAATAAAAAACATGTACGTGTAGCTAAAATGTTCCTCTGGAGCCACTTTTTCAAAATTTAATCAAATTTTGATGGCAATAAATAAAGATGTCAAAAATTGAGAAAATAATTAAATCAAATTTCAGAATAGTGGCTCCAAAAAAACGGACATTTCACTTTTACCTGAAGGTATATATTTTTCATTCACTAAAAAGTAAAATTAAACTATAGAAATATTTATGGCTCTATTTCGTATTGTTTAGAAAAAGATAATTGCTTAAGTAAATTTTCCTCTTAATTATATATAAAATTTTCCTTTTTTTATTAGCTGTTTGTAACAATTATGAAATGCCCAATAAAAATGTAAAATTCTATGACAAATAATTATGAGGGATAAAATAAATATCATACAAAGTTTTATATAATTATATTTACTAAAAATTCCCAAGAAAAATAAATAAAAAATATGTCAAAGAGATGGCAATACAAAAAATTATTTTTCATGCACTTCACCCCCATACAAGCGAGCTTATGTGAAGCAAGAATGTCTATTATTATTATTATTATTTACTATGGCGCTCCCGCACGTCTTATAAATGATTCTTTTAGAAAGTTACTCTAATATCACAAACATTACATTACTATTTCGGTATGTTAACTATCTTTTGCTAATAAAAACCAGAAATTGCACAACAAATAATTAATTTACTTGATATGAAAGCTAATGCCTAAGTAAATAAATTAAAAAAAAAAACAAAACAACAAATTCTTCTTGAATCTTGGGAAATAAGACAAAAGCAACCATCCATATAAACTGAAACAGAAAAAAATTAAATGCAGTAACTTCAAATTATTTTGTTTGTCTTTTAGACATTGCAGCAGCCCTCATATTATCATTATAATAGTTTCTTATTATTAATAGTAGACAGGTTTTAACTAAATGAGAAAAGACGTCTGTTTTATGTTCTTTATATTGTAAACCAGAGACGGCTCGTGGCCTAGTCTGCGAGGAGGCTGGCTCATCCTATATACTTTATACAAATATATATTTCTATTAGAAAACAATGTAATATTTCTGCTTTTTGTATTCTTATAGACATATATTTTTATTAAGTATATAGGGTGTGCCTTTTAAAAGTAGTCTCCTCATAGACGAGGCCACGAGTCGCCTCTGATGTAAACCATTTAAAATCAACATGGTGTGGCAAAAAAAGTTTAATTTTTTAAATTATATTGTCAATATGACCCAAAAGTGATAAAACTATTTCATGAATTTTTGAAAGAAATTCAATAACATTTCTTTGTACATAAATAAAACGTCTTTTATCATCATTTTCTTTAAAATAAGTAAAAGTACCGATGGTCTTCTAACAGTCTGTAAATTAACTTTACACTCTTTGCAGTCAAAACTATTAAGTTTCTTAATAAACCCTGCAACATAACTAGTGGACTGACTCAAATTCTGCTTCATTTATTAATTTTGTATATATTATTAAAATGAACTTTATCTTCACAGGACTCTGTTTGGAGGTGTGATAACAATATTACTAAGTACTACTATCTTTGGTGTATCTAGTTTTGAGGATACTAAAGCAAGGCAAAGCAAATCTTTTAGCAGTCTTGAACGATTTGTGTTTGTAAACGATTTTGTATCAAAATATGATTTTCACATAATGTATAATGATTGGTTGTAAGTGGAATGTTTAAAATACGGCACCATTCCTTTCTTTGGTCAATATTAGAAGGAAATTAAAAAATGTTTGTTCTTAGAATTTACGTTTGAAATGGGCCTTATAAAATGTACTATAACAATTAGAAATTATGCGTTTATAATGAATTCTGCCTGGTAAAGATATGTTAAAGCATCAAAATACCTATACGTGATTTTAAATAATCCTAAATAACATATCTAAAAAAAAATAAATAAAAGTAGTTCCACTCACATGTTTTCGTCGACAACCAAAACCATAACATAACCACACATTTGTTTGATTTTGATACCGGGATTTTGATGTTATTTGTTGATAACGCGCGCGGGGCCCGCTATAGCGGGCAGCCAGCAGTCATGTAGCGGAGAGGAAGCCATCTTCACATATATATTGTGATGTTTGTTTATTTTAAACAACAGTATATTTATTAATAATTTATTTAAACACTACTATTCTAATTTATATATATTTCGAAAGTCTTTAAACTGTTCACAATTTATATTCACCACTGTCTATCTTACAACTGATCCCGCGTTGATCCTCTATAAATATTTATATACCAATTTAAAATTATGGTGAAGGTTCCAGAATGCTCCTCCGCCAAACTAGAAATATCTCGTTATATTTGGAATACACTAAAAACATTATTCCGTTCTTTCTCGAATAGTAATCCACCATAGTCGTCACGTATGTTTGGTCTTAAGGGGTTTAATTATGTATGATAATCGGACAAGTTGAACCTCAAAGGCCAAATAAGACAGTGAGGGACTTGGAGGATTAGAGCATGACTGAATAATGAAATGGCTCACATTACTATATGATTACAATCATAGGTGCAACTAAAATGTACTGTACAAAGCGATAACTCCATTAGCCGAGTGTAAATCACTCGCGGCAGCCGTTTTAATTGATTTGTTTTATATTAATTAACATAAGTTGATTAATATAAGACATAAAAATATGGCTGATATTTTGTTATGATCTGAACACATTTTAGAAACTTTTATAAAGAGTAACTTTTTTTGTTTTAAAATCTTATTTTGCTAATTTCATAGTGTTATTATAAAAAGTACAACATTTTTCGTAATTTTTTAAGATAAAACCGAGGAAATCGTATTTTTAATTTGTTTGGGCCTTAAGTCCCAATGGGTTTTTAAATTTTTAAAATAATACATTTACCTAACTTGTAAAGTGACTTTTTGGATTTGTTGGTGATATTGTAGCAATGGTACTAATATATCATTTTTGAAAATAGTGTCTAATTTTGGATTACCTTCGGTTTTAGAATCTCCAAAATATTATTTTTCAATAAATTAACAATTTAGCTTGTGACACTCAGTCCCCCAACGAAAGCATAATTCTGATTGACTGGCACTATAAGAGTAAAAGAGTATTTTGAGCATTTTGAGTTTTTGTGATGTAACTTTTGC